CCAATTCTTCCCATGTAATTTTGCTATCAACATCTTCATCATCAAACAGCTGATCATCAGCGGTGGTTGTCATGTGATCAACTGATGAGCCAGGACTTTTAGGATCCTTCAATTTACCAGTCTCATTACTTTCCTTGTCATTAACCACATCTGCAATATTATTTTGCACTAGCTGTCCTTCACTAAAATTAGTGCTCACATCTTGAACCACTGGTTTATCGAACTGACTGATAGTGGATGCCAAAGATGGTCTGGTGCCAGACAAAAGAGCTGATGCTGATTGATGAAACTTGTTACTTTCACGATTGCTTTTAGGAAATAGACCATCAGCACAATTGTAATGTCGACTAGTGACATTATTTTTCTGTCCTTGGAGCTTTGCATCTTTGTTCTCTGTAGATCTGTTCTGCGGGTAATCTTTGCATGTCACTTCACAGAAGAGAAGGCTTTCAGAGTCATCTTTACTTCTTTGTTTGTATGGATCCACATTAGGGCTGATCCTTGCACTGCCACCTTTACGATTGATTCCATGAGTCCCTCTATAAAGTGAAGCTCCAGATGACCTGAAAACTTGAAGACTGGCCTTTCCAGATTTGGTTGAACTGGTGGAAGCTGATGCTGATTGATGGAACTCGTCAGGCTCATGATTGATTCTTTGAAATATACCAGCCGCATTATTGTAAGCAGGCCCCTTCCTCAATAATGGCACAGAGGTGCTACTAGTGGCAACATTTTTCTCATGTCTTTGAAGCTCATCTGCTTTGCCCTCTGTGTTCTGCATGTAAGTTCTACCTGTCCCTTTGCGGAAAGGGTTGAGTTTAGTAGAAGGATTTTTAGTAGAAGGATTTTTAGAGTCATATTTACTACTCTGACAATATGGATCCACATTGAAGTTGCCCCCCCTTTCACTGTCACACACAAAATTGTTCTTGTTCCAGCGCCTCTCCTTTTGAATTAAAATTGTTGCTGCAGTTATAGGAAGACCACCCAATTGATTAGGGGAAATTATTCTAGATGTTAAAGAAGTGCCAACAGTGGAGTCACCAGGTGGACCTCCTGAGAATGGAGACAGGGATTCTGTCTTTACAGAAGTTGACCCCCTATCAAAGGAAAAACAGCCATCAATTTCAGAAATGGCAATAATATAGTTACAAATTTACAATCACATGTGGGATTGTAAGCTTATGACATGTCATTTAATGAGTGGATGTATCCAATATCATGGATTAACCCTGAAGAAAAAGTTAGCTTACAATGCCACATGACATTGTAACTATATCATTTTTGCTAGAAATGAGTGAAGAGGCAAGAGCTTAATTCAAGAAATAAGAGCAAACTACAACCTTTCATCCTTCAGCTTTATTAAAGTGAAGCCATCATCCTCAACATCAGTGTGATGACTGGATAAAGTGGACTCCTACAGTACCAAAACACCTGATGATAGTCTAATACAACCCAAGCCAAATAGAATATAACTACAAAAACAGTACAGTAAAGAAATACACATAAAAAAAAGCAAATTACAATCAGGCATTAATAAACCAGTACTCCAGAGTGGAGGATACATTTAAAACTGGCAAAAAAAACTAATATTTAGTTGCATTCTTAGATAAGATAAAATAAAGTTTTGTACATGGTAAATTGTGTAAAGACAATAATGCAGAATACATAATAAGAACAGTCCATAGAGATACCGTTTACCATTTACCTAAATTAACCCCAAATTAAGGAAACTTTAAAAATCCAATGTATTTATTGAACAAAAAATGCACACTAAACATCCAAGACTCAAATAGTTATGCAAGTCCAAAATAGTAAACATCCAATAGGACCATTGATCTAATGGCAAATCTTCTCTACGTTTGGGTTTGAGTCTTGTTAGAGTCAAAATCATATACATAGAGATAGACCGCGGAGACCCCTGGCAGTTATGTGGATCCCGCGGACATTTTTGACGTCCCAATTTCTGCAGGGATTTTTTACGTCCCCACCTCTGCAGGGGAATGAGGGTCCTTGCCAGATTTCCCCATACAAATCATACAAACAAACAATCATTTCAAGACAATGTACATAATTAAAAAAATTCACATTATGTAACAACCTGAAATTTCAAACATAAAATAAATTTAGAAAAAAAGAGTTTACTTTAACCAAAAAAGAAAAGAAAAGAAAAGAAAAGAAGCAGTTAAAAGTGCTGTAGACTGAACAAGTTGCATCTGTCCCCACAAATACGGGGAAGAATATTACTTAAATCTCCATCCCAGTGAAGGTAAATTTTAATCCCACATTTAAGACCAAAAACCCTCAATTTAGTTTTACCAAAGATGTATATCCTTCTATTTATAGAATTAACATCATGTATCATGACTCCAATCAACTAACCTCAACAGTTCAAAGCTTATTCCGATTTGAATTCACCAATCACCAGAATCTAATACATATTCTCAACTCAAAAGTTCAAGATTCTAAAAAATTAGGCGTACTTACCCAAGAAATGTAATAAAAAATATATAACCAGCACTTACGCAAGACTCTCTCAATGAATTCTCTGATGGAATCTGATGATGGCCCCCAAAGCTAGGCAAATCCGCCGTGGGGATCTGATCATTATTGGCTTCTTCCGAAAATGACGCGCTGGTTGGTAGGGCTAAGTTAACCGGGAATTCGTCTTCGAACCGCAATGCTGAAGTGTTGTCGAAGCTCTCCGAAACAGTGTCGGGAGCCGTTGATAAGGCCGAGGGACTTGTCGCAGAGTTTTCCGACATCGTAAGCTGATAATCGGGGCAGCGTCTTACTGGCGGAGTTAGAAGCAGGATCTCTTCTTCTCTGTTTCCTCCTTCTCTGACTTTGTCTGGTTCGGACTTCGGAGAGAGAAATAAACTGCGAGGGAAAAATTCCACATTTCCACGAACGGGGCTTGACATGCCTATTCATTGGGCCACGTCACCTTTGCTTTTGAAATTTTGCAGATTCCTTCCGACGGCAGACTTTTAACGATCGACAATTCTAAAGAAACATTTTTTTAAGCCTTTTTCACCACCGATTCGTTACTGAATCAGATTTTTTATTCAACAATTTTGCACTTGATAGTTTTTTTTTTTTTTTTCAACCGACAATTCGAGTTCGACTACTGAATCTAAATAAGTTTTTAGTTAAAGCTCAAAAAATAGATATAACCATTGTTGTCAAAATCTAGATTTAAATCTTAAAATCTTACGATTTTACGATTTCAGCAAGACATTTTGTGTAAAATTTATATTAAAATTTGAAATTCATAAAATCTCAATTTTACCATGAAATCAGGTAAAATCTCGATTTTACGGTGAAATAAGGTAAAATCTCAATTTTACCTTTTGTTTGGCAGCTGGATTTTTTACTTATTTTCTTTTGGACTTCTCATATTGGGTTAGTGAGTTTTGACTAGATAACCCATAAATTAAACTTATTTTTCATTTTAAAAGCCTACAACCCACACAACCCAACCACAAATCAACATTTTAATAGGGAATTCGGGACAAATTTGATTTAACCATCTAAAATTCTAAATTTAAGTCATCTTCTTCGTTTAATTTATTTGTGTTATTGGATATTTAGATTTTAAT